TTGGCTACCGGGGAGGGTGGTGGTCTAAATGCACTCGAAATTTTTCCGAGTTATTGATTCTTCCGTTCTAGGCGCTCATCATTGGCAGTCGCACTAGGGGTCGTATTTCGGTCGATGGGAGAGAGCGGGTCGTATTTGACCAAACATTTACCGAAAGCTACGCTGTGCCCCGCCCGCAACACCTTTTTCCTCTCGCTATCCTCGCATGGATCCCTCCCTCCCGTATAGCACCAATTATTGAGAATAGAAAATAAAAGTATTAAGACTAATATGTTAAAAATGTTGCGGGGAGGGGGTTACAAGGAAATAGTTTGGTTTCGGTTTCGCACGTGCCCTTAGAAGTCTCACTCATATCTTAGAAAGGCTCCAAATAGTAACGAGGGCACGGACCCCTCTCCAAAAAGCTTATTTTTTTTTATTTTCTTTTATTTTAAAGTTTTATTTTACACCAAACGCTCAAATCCTCATTTCCATATAATCCCCTCTACCCTTTCTGGCAGATTCATAGGAAATCGCTAAGCACTAGGGAGTTCCTGAATCACTAGCTGTCTGCTTATCACGGTGCTATGCATGAATGACACACGACAGTGTCATCTACTCTCGCCATGATTGATATGGTCCCCAGACGCCCCGCCATTACGCATTCGCCCACCTCCGGCCTATAATCAAAACAGAGCAAATCCCATGCTAACCATAAGAAGGCTCGTTGAGCTTCTTCGGGTCACAAGGATTGTGGGATTTCAGATCTCCGTCGGATGGCCTTTGAGGTCACGTAACCCAGACAGCTGTTACAAGAACCGTGCACATAAATCAGTGCGGATCATCCTCATGGCTAATAAGTCGTTGATTCGCCAGAGCGGTAACGATATTAGTAGGGATGGACAGGGATAATCCGATGTCTAATGAACTCCATTGCGCGGCTAAGTGTCCAGACCTCGTTACTTAGGTGATTCCTCATCGCCTCATTCTCATCTCCGCACATATTTCCCGAGATCCAGATAAGGTCATCGCGGCGCTTAATTAAACAAAGGAAATTGGGCAAGGAAGGCGCATCCAAGAATTTGATTAAGGAGGCTTAAAGGAAGGAGGAGATGACTCACCGATGAGTTTATGTAATTTCGGCAGTGACGGATCGTCATAGTCAAGTGGACGCCTCAGATGTATGACACCCGTTTTTGGATCGATTCCAAACATTGATGTCGCTTCACGTTGACCACCATGTTGACTCCAAACCGAGTAGGTGAGCTCTCCCTTAGAGCGGCGATCGTCGATGGCACGAAAACGATGCGCTCTAACATCCACCACACTGAAAATTCAAGAGTTATTCAGAAGAGCTGTACACTATATAAAATCGAATATTTCGCTGAAATCTTATCTGAGAAAGTTCACAAGAAATGCTCGCGACAGCATAAAAATTAGGCGTAGTTCGGCAACGGGGGGGGGGAGGGGGAGGAGCATCTTGTGTTCGCTGCTTCGCTAGCTCCGATTTACAGGTCTCATTCTGGCTAAACCTGTGAACTCTCGTGAAGTTGGATCAAGCTCATCGAGCCACTGTGGTAATTGGTGGTTCCTTTGCTGAAGTTGGCAGGTGGTCCCAACAAACTTTGGCTGGTATCACTCCGTAGCTTCACAAGATTTCACAGGTCTCCACTTGAGATATCGATAGGAAGTAGCAAAAGTGCAAAACGCATCCCCCTGTTGCCGATCTGCGCCCAGGACGTTGGGTGGCGTACGTGCGACGCGTCCGTTCATACTTCACGATTCAGTCCCCTGAAGCACGCGACACGCATGAAGAGCACGCATTGAGAGTGCAATTGAATAATCATAGCGATGGTGCGAGAGCGAAGGGCCTCACAGGTCAAACAGGTGAAATTCAATGAAATCGAGCTACGAAACCGTTAGGGTGGATCATTGCTCGATAGTCGCATCTCAGACTTGCAAGGCGAACTACTAAACTACCCCCCCCCCCCCCCCCCCCCCCCCCCCCCCCCCCCCCCCCCCCCCCCCCCCCCCCCCCCCCCCCCCCCCCCCCCCCCCCCCCCCCCCCCCCAAAACACAATTGGAAGTCGCTCTTTCAGCAGCTGGACAAGAGGGGAGTAGGGTCATATCAACTTGTAAGCTGCCGTTAAACTTACTTTTTTTTTTTTTTTTTTTTTTTTTTTTTTTTTTTTTTTTTTTTTTTTTTTTTTTTTTTTTTTTTTTTTTTTTTTTTTTTTTTTTTTTTTTTTTTTTTTTTTTTTTTTTTTTTTTTTTTTTTTTTTTTTTTTTTTTTTTTTTTTTTTTTTTTTTTTTTTTTTTTTTTTTTTTTTTTTTTTTTTTTTTTTTTTTTTTTTTTTTTTTTTTTTTTTTTTTTTTTTTTTTTTTTTTTTTTTTTTTTTTTTTTTTGTAGAGGATGTCTAACCAGCCCCCGCCCTCCTCCCTACTCATTCCGCTCTATGGCAAAATTTGAGGAAAGTTGGCAAGATGGCAGGTAGGAAAGAGAGTTGTAGCAGAGGCGCCAGAGAAGAATTCAGAGGGTGGGGATTGTTCAGAGGGTTGTATCACACAGGGATTCCAACAAAGTTGGGTGCCTTGATTTACCACTCACAACGCGCGACCGAAGCGCTGCTGTTCACGAAGTCTGAACGCTGCCCAAAAAATCAGCGGCTCTACTGATTGCTTCACTAACTGCACGACACTCTCTGACTTCCGCCTACTCTCTTCTCAACTGGAAATCATAGGAAGTGTTCAGAGTTGCCTTACTGAGCACTCAACAATTCAAGCACTCTGACCCACGGAACCGCGCGCCGACTACGCAAAGTCGCACCATAACTCGAAAAGTGTCTTTTGATAGATCATGTACGCGAATATCTACAATCGAGCAACGCCCATAACTTACACCCGAAATCCCAGAGATGGGGTAGGCGTGGCTGCGTTCTTCAACTAAACTGGCGGAAACTGTGCTGTTGGAATATTTCCATTTGACACAATTGTGGTCGTGTCTCTATACAATACAGAACAAGATGACAGTTGTCTCAAACTGAAATATCCCACGAGTGACCCGTTCTGTGCCATGCTCGA